GGGATCCCCATTGGGTGGATAGTTCTGGGGCAGGGTGAGGATAGCTATTGGGGTGGTGGATACTGGGAGATGAGGCCATGGAGTTGCTAGTGGAATACCTGTCGGGATGGGGGACCCCGGGGCAGGAGGGAAATATGGGGGCAGCTCTGGGGTCAGGATACTGGAGGGTGAGGCCCAGGGCCTGGATACGGGACAGCTGTCGGGGTGGCTCTCTGGGGAGCGGCGGGGCTGGCCCGGGGGAACCTGGGGGCGCTGGCTCTTACCTGCTTGAACTGCTCCTCGTAGGTCCACTCGTGGTGCTGGGGCGGCGGCTGGCGCGGCGGGGAGAGCGAGCGGGCGGGCTCCGGGCGCTGCTGCGGGGCGCTGGGGGAGCGCGGCGGGTACCGGGCCGCCCCCGCCTCTTCCTCCAGGTCCTCCTCCTGGCCGTGCTCCGGGGCGCCGGGGCCCGGCGGGGACCCCCCCAGGCGGCCGCGGGGGGCCAGCCCGCAGCGCACCGCCGCCTGGTACTGCTGGAGGGCCAGCGCCTGCGGCTGGATGCGGCTCCCCACCGCGGAGCGCAGCTGCCCCGGGCCGGGCTCCGCCTGCCCCCGCCGCAGCTTCTCCTCCCCCCGGGCCAGCCGCGCCGCCTGCTGCCGCTGCAGGTTCTCCATCACCGCCTCCAGCCGGTGCCCCCCGCCGCCCGGGCCCGGCAGGGCAGCGCCGCGCCCCGGGGAGCCGCCGCCGGCGCCCGGCACCAGCAGGGGCAGCGACCCCGGGGAGGAGAAGGCAGCCTGGGGGGGAGACACAAGGGGGTGGGGGGTGGGGGTGAGAGTCCGGCCGAGAGAAGAGGGGGTGCGAGGGAGGGGAGAAGTGGGGGGGAGAGGGGGATGAAGGGGGAAGGGGAGGAAGAGGGGGCAGAGAAGGGCGGGGGGAGCGGCTGAGGCAGAGGGGAGGAAGCTCAGGACGGAGGAGGCGGACGGGGGAGAAGGGAGCGGGGCGGAGAGGGGGCAGGAGGGCTCGGGGGCGGCCGGAGGGCGCAGAGCCGGGCAGGGAGAAGTCCCAGAGCGCGTCGCCCCCTCGCTCCCACCCGGACTAACTCGGGACGCGGGGGCGCGTCTCGCTCAACTTTGGCCGCTGCCCGGCTCCGCTCCAGCGCCGGCCCCCCCCCCCAGCCCAACCCCCTGCCCCGGGAAGCGGCTCCTCTGCCCCGGCGGAAAGTTTGCAGCCCGGAGCCGGGCTCCAGCGGGGAGATTCCCCGACCCCCCCGGCGGATGGGCCAGGGAGGAAGGGGAGGGGGAGGCGGACGCAGGAAAGGGAGCTTCAGAGCAGGGAGAATTTAGACGGGGGGCGGGATTGGGGCGTGGGGGGTCCCCACAAGCCCCCCGGCTCCAGTGCAGGAGGTCTGGGAGAATCCCCCGTTCCGGCCAGAGCCACCCCCTGGTGCAATCCACGTGCGAGCCCCGGTAGAGCCCCCCTCGCTCGGCTCCTTATTAAATATCAGACTCGGGGGGGGGGGGGCGCTGGCTGGGAAGTTGCAGGACGTTTGACTTGATGCCGTTTCCGCCCCCGAGTCCCCTTCCACCCCCCACCAAGCCAAAACCCCACAACCACTCAAAGAAACCAAACAACAGCTGCGACCCCATTAACACCCCCCGCCGCCCGCGAGCCGAAGGTAATTTCTCTTAAAGGCATTAGAAAACATACAATTTTCTTTTTAAAACATTGCTTACCAAAGCCGAGTTCGTGTTTTCCACCATGCTTCCTTCTCTCCCACTGACTGGCTGCCCAGGGGAGCTGGTGGGGGGGGGGGGGGGGGGGGTGGGGGGGTTGGATAAATATATATTTAAAAAACAATCGGATCTGTGGCTGTATTTTTATTCCTCGGGTGCGCTGGGCCCCGGTCCCAGCAGGGCGAAGAGTGTTACAGATATTTCTTTTATTCTGCAGCTCGTTGAAGCAATGAGGGGGTTGGGGTGGGGCTTTTTTCCCTTTTTTTTTTTTTTTGCAACAAGTGGCAGGCAGAGGCGGCGTGACCCCTTCCACCGAGAGATCAGCCCTCTCTGCTCCCCATTTGCTAACAACACGTCAGGGGAATGATAAATAGAGAGGGCAGGGTTTGCTGACAGCCAAAGGGGGAAAATGCTGTAATACTTCCCCAGCAGGG